TTTTGTTTACATTAATGTATTTCTTCTGTATTTAAGATCTATGTTTATGTAATGTGTATGAGAAGCAAATGAAAAAAAAAATGAAGAAAAAGTAAAAATTATTAAAAAAAGCATACTCAGGGCTTCTGATATTTCGCCTGGTCGCGTACCCGCGAAATTCAGGTATTTCCCCGAAATCCGGCGAAATTCCCAAAAAAACGCAAAATACTGCGAAATCCGCCAGAAATATTTCCAAATACATGTCGGCAAAACATATTTAATACTTATCTTGTCTATTAGACCGGTTTTATTCACCCCAAACGTCTAAATTTAGCTTGAAACTTCGTCACTGCAACGAGTAAACAACGTCCCAAAACTACCAGGCGTTTTTAGATGAACGTTGCGAAAAACTGGGCACTAACCATAATGTTAATGGCTTTAACATTCGCTCATTTCTGGAGCGAACTGATGTTGAAAGAGCAAATGATTATTCCTGTTTAAAAAAACGTTCACCAACGTTGGTCATATCGATGCAAAATTGATCAATTTTAGCGAAATTTGCCAAAAAAAAACCCAGCGAAATCGGCTGTTTTTTACTGATTGTTTCTTGGCGAAGTTTCCCCCCGAAATTTCCCCTGAAATTGGCTGATTTTCCTAAAAATTTGCCTCTGAAAATCCTTCGAAAATTGACTTTTTTCCGCTAAAATCCCGCGAAATGGGCTGATTTTTCTGCGAATTTTGACTTTTCTCCAGCGAAAATCAACCGAAATCGGCCGATTGTTCCGCGAATTTTGACTTTTTTCCGCGAAAATCCCGCGAAATTGGCCGATTTTTCCGCAAATTTGCCCCTGAAAATCCAGCGAAATTTTGCTTTTTTTTCCGCGAAATATCAGAAGCCCTGCATACTTGTGTCATTCAAATTCAAGCCATTCACACTTAAACTGCCCATTATCCCCTGGACAGATCTGTAGACCTTGTACTGCTTGTGACATCATCAGTTTTATAACTACTCTGTAATCATTTGCATTAGCTATGAACAGTTTTTAAAAATGTCAGAACAGCTTACCTCCAGAAATAGGCATCTTCACAAAGAGTGTGATCATTTTCAGTTTGGTTAATTTGTCCACAGGTGTAGATATAAATTACCTGAAAGATTAACAGAATAAGAATCATTATTTCTTCATGCTTTTGAAGTTTAAAATTTCAGGCACAAAGCACTAGAATGGCATAGAACTGTTGCTAAAAAGGTAATTCTTTAATGTGAAAGTGAATTCACCTGAGGTCAGTTCGCCCAGACTTATGATTTGGTGCGATCATTGCAATCACTATTGCACATGTAGACTACAGTTTTGTACATATTCTTTCAGTATCTTGAATATGATTATCAAGATTGCTCAGTTGGTTCAGATCATTGGACCTTTTTCCAGCAATCAGGAATGGAATCCAAGCTTAACTCAAAGACATGTCTGATAAGCCATACTAGGGCCATTTATACGAGGAAAAATAAGACGCGTCTTACATAAGAGGCGTCTTAAATAAGACGCGAACTGTACCATTTATACGAGCATGTCTTATCTAAGACGAGAACAGCTCGTATAACTGGTTCGCGTCTTATTTCTGTTCTTGACTCGTTTTCATGTGAATGTGGCCCGTAGCAACGGCAACCAACAAGGCGCGAAAATTTTCCCGCCAAAAATTAACGCATGCGTACCATGCGTTCGCGTCTTATGTAAGATGCGAAGGTCATTTATACGAAGTTTTTTCTTGTCTTAGCTAAGACGCGTCTTATCTAAGAACAAGTGATAAGGGCTGTTCTAAAATAAGATGCATCTTAGCTAAGTCGCATCTTATTTTAGACGAAATGTGCCGTTTATACGGAAAGTTCACGTCTTATTTAAGACGCGTCTTATGTAAGACGCGTCTTATTTTTCCTCGTATAAATGGCCCTACTGTCGTCCGTTGAGTGTTCTTTGTCATTGGGTAAATCAACTTACAAGAGGGCGAAACACTGTTCAAGGGCAAAACAACTTTAAGGCAAAATGACCACAACTGAGAGCCAAAGACCGACTGGTATGTGTCTTAATGCATGTAGTTTTTTTTTCCCAGTTTATTGGTATCACTGCAAAAGAAATACTTGAACCAGGGTTCATACAAAAAATTGCAACCATTTTTTAAGGACTTTTCAAGGACTTTTCAAAGACCACATTCAATTTTAATTTCAAGGACCACCTACCGGAAATCTAATTTCACAGATTGAACAAAAATGCACATAACTTTATTTCCCAGTCCATTCTAATATTACTTTAAAGGCTTGAACTGTTTTCTCTACCAACTTCTCTACATTTTTCAGTTCACTTGTCTTGAATAATATTGATAGTTAATTTTTGCGCAGAAAACCAAAAAACGTTTAAGTAAATCACCTTTAACTTCTCTGAGCTATGATTTATATTCTGTTTTGGAAAACCAAGAAGCATTAAAAACACTTTCTAGGCCACTTTTAACATTCAAAGTTGACGAAAATTCAAGGACTTTTCAAGGAAAAATGGAATTCAAGGACTTTTCAAGGACTCCCCCTACAATTCAAGGACTTTTCAAGACTGAGCAAACCCTGTCAAGTGTACACTTGAAAAAAACATTGCATAGAAACCTCATTTAGATATATTTCTATGTACACTATCTGAACAATATAGTGTGGAAAGATTATATTAAACACATGTGGCAACTGACAGGCTTAAATTCTTGTAACGTTATCATGTCATATTACAATCGGTTTGTGTGACTTAGCCGATCATGTGAGACCATCCTCAATTCACTTCACTTGTAATTTGTTGTTTAAGCTTCCAAGTGCCTTTTGTGCCGGTTTATTAAGTGGAATCCTGACAATCCTATTCAGATTTTTTTCCCCTTCTCCTTCCTTTCGCTAATTTTTCCCCTTTTTCCTTCCTCTTGAACTTATTGTAATATTGTGTGAGCTTAATGCAGGGTTTGCAAATTTTATTGATGAGTGGAGTCACTGTGACTTCTGCTTCACAAATTTTGGAGTCATTTTGGAATATTTGGAGTCAAGTATCACAAAGAAAAAAGCCATTTTCAGACTTTCCAGCATGTGGTCCTGGCATGTATACACTATCGTGAGGGATACACAAAGTAGCTGTGGTGGTCCGCTGACCTGGAAAGCTCAAATCCATGATAGCAGTCATCGAATAAACTTTTATGGTAATTTATCCTCTTCCTGTTTTGTCGTGCAGCATAATTCTTTAATTTTGATGATTTAATTAAGCTTTACAACGTTTATAATTAACGTAAATTGTATTTGTTGCGAAAAAGGTTAGGACAAAACTGTGTTTGTTACCGAAAATTTCTGGAGTCAAAGTGACTCCTTCCATGACCTTTGTGGAGTCATCTGAAAACTTTTGGCATATTTGCGAACCCTGTTAATGTATTGGGTGTAAGTAAGAACTTATTTTTTATTGAATGTTGTTTATTGATCTTGACCTTATTTTGTCTTCAACAACAAAAAAGATAACAAATTACAAATAACTTGTAATTTGTTATTTTACTAGTTAGCTTTTTTAATAAGACCTCTAAATTTAACGTGTAAAGCCCACAAGAGGTTTACATTGTTTTAATGGCCAGATGAAACAAAGCTCTGTTGATTTATGGCATATGTTCCACTTTTTACATTTAGGTAGCTGAAGCACTCTTTCATTATTCATGATCTAAACTGATAGTTTGCCCAAATTAAAGGTCAGTGTTCTGTCTAATAACTTTCATTGACTGTGTTTATGGACAGATGAATTATTAGACAAAGATAGGCTACCATTTTATAGAATAAACAAAGTCAATGGCATAGTGTTAAATTTTCTAACCAGTACATTTGTGTATGCCACTTTTCTTCAAACAACTATCTGGCATAAGTTTATGGTTTTCTAGGGTGTAAAGTCGCCTACAGTTGTTTTAATTTTGAAATGGTAACATTGTTTTCCTCTTCTCTTCGGCCTGATCATGCCTGAGTGCATGCTTACATTTCAAGCTCTACCGAATTGCGGAAATGATTTGCATTTGTATTTGCTTTGATGTAGGACAACTAGTCTAGTAAATGCGCCACGGGAATGCACACTTATCATACTTAACCTTTAGCTTTATATTGTACTTCCCGTATTACCTACCCTGCAAGTTTATATTTCTTAATACCATGGCTTTGTGCACCTGTTTATTAACAGGTGTGAGAGATGTCTTGCGTAACAATAGGATCAATTGTTTCGAATGCTTAGGCTTTTATTTTCAGATTGTGGTGCCCGCTTCTAAACTCATCAAACGTACGTGGGAAAATGAACACAAATGAGCCAATGTTGGTTTTTTTTTACTTTAAGCAAGGTGTACGATTTTTACAGCTTCAATGGTATGCCAATCGGTCGATCGCTACAGCAGCAAGTTTAATATAGTTTCACCTGGTCGATCTAGCAAGCTGCACGTTTTATATTGTACAAGATACCTACCGAACTTTTTTTGCCCGCCCAATGCAAGAACGCCACAGAATGGTTGTCCCCTTTGAGTTCAAATTCATCTATTATTGTGCGGTTATGACTGCGGACTGTACCATCCACACTTCGCCTCAATCTAATATGATCCTCGGCCCCATCGTCAATGAACAACTGCCTCAGTTCCTTGTCAAATTGCTCAAAGTCATTTCCGCGGAGAAAACCGAACCGACCATCAGGTCTTGTTCTCTTTAAAGGGATATGCTTGAGTCTGCCATCGATGACATCATTTAGACGAAATGCACTAGTAAATGAGATTGTTAAAAGCGTCCCAATAAGCGAAGAAAACAAGAAAAAGTGCACACTCATTCTTGTAAACTCCATGTTTTTGATGTTTTTGGAGCTCTAAGCTGTAGCGCCGCAATCTTTCATGTCAGCGGGTTAGGGGTCCGATTAATTGAGCAAATTCTGTCATATGGGCCCCCCTCTACCACAGATTCTTCCTTTTACTCGTCCTCTCATGTGTGGTCGGTCTTCAAAATGAAGTTCAACAGTGAAATTAGCTCTTCAAGGAGGAAAAACCGAAAAGCTCACTTCTCAGCGCCTTCCAGCGTGAGAAGGAAGCTTATGAGTGCGCCCTTGTCCAAAGAACTTCGCCAAAAATACAATGTTCGCTCTATGCCCATCCGAAAAGACGACGAAGTTCAAGTCACACGTGGTCATTTCAAGAGTCAGCAAGTTGGAAAAGTCATTCAGGTTTACCGTAAGAAATGGGTAAGTGATTAATAGAGTAAGAAGTTTATTCGGCAGATAATCAGAAGGTTGGCATTGTAAATCCTTGAGAAGTGTGTGTACGAAATACCCACATAACAGATGACCACAGGTACCCCAGGTTTGGAATTATAGCGCGGCATTACAAATTTATCACAAAAATGTACTTTTATCAAATGAGTTGACAAGTTGAACTTGCCATTAAGAGTCTCATCAGTTTAAAAACCTTTAACACTTATAAGTGACATAAACCATGCCAAGACGTAGGAAAATAGTTAGCTTGCAAATACAGCCATTTCTCCTTGATCCTAGCCACTTGGGACGTTTTGCAAGAAAGATGTCTATGCCTCGACAATAGAAATTCCATACTGATGATGTGAAATCTGTCCATGTTGTGGTCAGGAGCTCTGATTAGTCAACATAGTAATTATATTGTTTTAGCTGTGGTTACCAATGACAGACAAAAGGGAATGGGGGTGAAATGTAAACACAATAAATCTACTAGAAAAAGGATATTATTCATGGAAAATATTCTTCAGAGAAAGAAGCACTTGAGTTTTGCTGCAGTTTGTTCGCAGAAAAATTTAAAACGTTACCATAATATCCTGGGAAAAACATTAACTTGAACAAATTTACATTTGATCCTCATGACTACCTTCATCAGTATGGAATTTCTGTCATTGAGACATAGATGCAAAATGCCCAAAGGAGCGAGGAGAAAGGGCTGTATTCACAGGTCAGAAAAAAGTAGCAATAGAAAACGTTATGGGTTTTCTACACTAAGGTTATTCAAGGTGCTGTTGGAAATTTGCTGAGATCTGATAATTTAATCATTAGAAAGGGAGAAGTGACCTAGTTCTGTATTGATGTGGTAATTTGACTGCCTATTTGCCAGAACTTCACATGATGTTTTATTTTAGAAGGGATATATGGTCGATCAACTTACTGTTCCTGTCATGCAAACCAGATAAACAGTTACATTGATTTTTTTATTAAATTTTCTTTTTTATTGCTATGCAAATCTTCAGCTTCAAAATGATAACCTTTAGTATTTGATCTGTCTGATGCTCATTATGCCCAACTGTACATGGCATCTCTTCTGACATTTGGCATACATGTATTTTGAGGGACATTGTCCGATGACCAACTTGCAGCTCTGCTCTGTTGCTCTCTTAAGCATAAATGAAATAAATTTTAATGCACTATAGGTAATTCATATTGAGAGGATACAGAGAGAAAAAGCTAATGGAGCTACTGTTAGTGTTGGCATTCACCCAAGCAAGGTGGAGATCATAAAGCTCAAGCTTGACAAAGACAGGAAAAAGATCCTAGAGCGCAAGAACCGGTCCAAATTGGCTGAAAAGGGAAAGCACACAGAAGAAGAGGTCCAAGCAATGTCAACGGAATAAGTAGGTGACAATGTTTTTTATATAACTTACAGTAGGGGTGTAACGATTAATCAAATTCTCTATTAATCGCGATTATGACCGTTCGGTTCGATTCACGATTCTTTTCTTCCACGTTTCGATTTTGGTTCAATTTTTGCACACCTTTTCCAGGGTGCTCTTAGTGAGTTATTATATTGTAAAATCTGAATCTAGAACGCTTTAAATTGTGTGTTTATGATTGATGAGCAAAGATGATAGCATTTCTTGTGCCATTTTGTGCTGCCTGGTAAAAATGCTGTCCTTCAACCACCCCTTGAGAATTTCCAAATAAGGCAAACTATGTGCGACATGTTCTTTGTCAGGTTCTCAAAAATGGCGAGAAACGAAGCAACTGTGAATCCTCTTGTCCCTGCTACTATTCTCAAATTGAGGGTTTAGGGTTGCATGTTGTTTACATTATGCGTTGTGTTATAAGAATTAAGAAACATTTACATGATCGAATCGAGATAATCGAAATCGAATCAAACCGCAAGGAATATGAATCCTTACACCCCTAACTTACAGTACGTCTAAGTGTTAGTAGATTAACATTTTAATTGAAATGGCATGTTAAAGTAGAGATGCAGTAGCACCACTATGTTACAGTTTTTTTGTACTATTCAAATGAGAATCTAGTTATTAATGAACTAATAAATGGACTTGAGTTGAAAAAAAAAACATCAATGTAGCCAAGTCTTATGGGTTGAGTCCACCTTATTGTGTGTGAAGGATTTTATGAGATATTGCCAAAAGAAAGAAAAGAAAAGAGCAAATATCTTAGCTTTTTGTTTTGTCTTAAGTAATATAGTGCAGTTCTTCCTGGGGGCTGATGACCAAAACGTGATGTTTTCGTTTCATAAACACAAAATAATCAACTGAGTGAGAAGAAATAGAAAGTTGGGTATAAAAGAAAAATAAAATTATTTGCTTTTCTGTTATTTTGGGGCCATACCTTCTGACAACTTAAAATAATGTATGGATTGGTGACTTCACCTTTTTTTATAAATTTGAGCCCTGACTATAATCAATGATGGTGATAACTAATAATAATAACAATAATGTATTTGATTTTTATTTTTTTCAGATGTTCCTGTGAAGAAAGGTTATTATTACTATCACTTTCCTTCGAAATCAGCTTCAATAAATATTTTGAAAATATGTATGCCGATTGTTTGTTCTTTTGTAATTTGACACAATGAAAAAAATGCAAGTCTTAGGATGCTTACCAAAAGTCAGAAATTATTGACCAGCCAGACCAGTCATTTTGAAAATGTGAGTTTTTGCTTAAAACCCATCTGCCATGCACACCATTTAGGAATGGACTGATTTGGCTTGACTCTGTTCAACAGAACTGGTCTGGCCATAAAGTTCTTACTAATGGAATGCACCCTTAGGTTTTCAAAGTTTTTCTTCCCAGCAAGAAAATCTTGTTTACCTCGGAAATCCCTGTGATTTGGACCAAAGATCTTTTAAGCGGTTGGGGAACCCAAAGCCCTTTGCAAATCCACTCTGACAAAGCTCCAGCACTCATACATGTAACATCATCTTCTGAATGTCATGACCTTCTAGTTATTTTTGTTTCTTTATTTCAAATGGTATTTCTGTACTTCAGATACAACTGCAAGTCGTACCCAGCGACTGTTGTCATTTTGCAAAGTGTTGTTACGGAAAGTAGTATAAAATAATAATGTAAAGTGAAAAATCACAAATGACTCTGCTGAGTGTTTTAGCCAGTAAGGTGTTCAAAAGGGGGTCAAAGAAAGTCGTGTTACTGAAGAAATCTTAGACCTTGAAAACTGTAAATTATCCTTGAAAAGTCCTTGAATTTTTACATTTGTTTGTCTGAAATTGTACGAACCATGTACAATGGAAGATGTACTTTATGATACTAAAATTTTGACTGTTGCCGACCACGTTACGTTGTGAGTTTCAATAACCCTTCAGCACCCAACTGAGATGACATATAGGCCTGTGTTCAGAGAGACATGTCGGTTATAAGATTTTCAAAAGATAAGTTGCCTTCCCAATACAAAATTAATGGAGACTTGCTCACAAGACTTCAAGTGAAATGTTTTATTGTAAGTACACAAAGCCTTACAAAATTTGCATGTTGTACTTGCTACTCCAAAAGTGGTCCTTTGTAGCTCAGTAAAAGATACAATGTACTATCCAAGAAAATATAAATATTATCACAAGGTTATGATCCATGATTTTTTTTACCAATGGAAATTTGAGCCTGTCATGTTCCTGCCAGTTCTTGAAGAATCCAGTCTAAGGAATTTGACTTCTCTCATTGCAATGATTGAGTTCTTGATGTGAAATTAAGAATCTACATTGCAATCTTGGAATTTCCAAAAGAAACAAACTAAAATCTGTGCCAGTTATAAAATTGACTTAAAAATCCCTTATGTTTATGAATTAAAATTCATAAGTGCACCTGTGAAATTATAAATAAAGCACCTGAAAGATAAAACTACCGAGTTCCTTACAGTTCTTGTTTCAAAATGAGCACCAAAATGTTTGACCAGGATAATTTCAAATCCTGCTGTTTGCAATATTGGGTCATTGGTCAGTTTGAACACAATCAAGCCTGTAATCTTCTTCTGGTACTCTGTTTGGCTGCACAAGTTTATTGTGTAAGCACAAAGGTCACAGTTTAAAAGTACAGTTAATAAACCACACTAGATTATAGTGGTGTTTTTTTATTGAGTAAGCATTGTATGTATCCCTTCTAGTGCTTCATCAAACTTGTCAGTAGAAAGAACTAAAACTGTTCTATAAGGTTTTAATTCTGAATCATCTGATGTCCATTTGCCTCCTACAAGAGTTTCATCAGAGCTTGTGCTGGCTTCAAAACTAAAAGATAGCTGACTTGCCTGTAAACAAGATGGAAAAGTCAAGAATGAGATTTTGAACACTTCTTTCTTTAAAAGTAGATTTGACCCTCATCTAAGATGGGGATTATGAACAGTCTATTTGCCACCTCGCTTACTATCTTAACTCTGGTTACAGGGTGTTTTAAGTGAGCTCTTGATATAAAAGAAGAACAAATTAGTATGAAGAAAAGTACATGCAGTGAACAGGTTGCTGATTCAGAACTTCCAACACTACTTAATTATTGGCTAACTTATTGGCCAACTGGCCTCCCACGTTTAATATGGTTTGTATTTGCTTTAGCTAGACTTTCTCAAAGCCCATTTCAAGTTTCTGCTGGTTAGGTGATCAGTTGAGCATTACTCACACCTTCAGCACTCATGCAGTCTACTTGTGGCAAGTCTACTTCTTTAGCCTGCTAATGCGCTTCTCTCCACCCAAAGGGAAGAGAAGTGAAGAAAGGATGTACGTCTGCATTTCAAGGCCGAGTTTCTCTTGAAATGGTTGAATTGAAGAAAATCTGATTTTAGCTCAGGCAATACTACTGAGTTTAATCTTCCATTTACTTATTCACAATTATTTATGTAATCCCTGGTGTCTGTGATAGGCATTCCGAAATATGTGCCAACATAATATCAGGGGCACCCAACGACAATGTTCGGAAAATTATCTGTTTGGAAGACGATTTGAGGTCTAGAATTTTCGGATCATTTTCTGACAAATTTCTTGCTTGCCTGCCTCTCCTAGGATTTTTCGAACTTCAAAAAAATCGTATTATTGCCCATTTTTAACGGATTTTTACCCTAAAAACGTCACCTAGAATTTTCGGGAGCCTTTTTTCTGGCTGAAATTTTCAAACAGGTAAATTTTGATCCCTATAATTTTCGGATCACTATACTTTCAGCTGGAAATCCAAACAGATAAAAAATTTTTAGGGGATAAAAATAAGCCTTTATCTACCGTTTAAATACTAAAGTATGTTCAACAATGCTATGTTTATGTGGTTTTGAACTATACTCTCGTTGGGTGCCCCTGATAATATGACATCTTCACACATAAAGTTCTTGTAACTATAAATTTTGGGGGGCAGATTGGTCTGGGCATAACAGAAGAGCCGCCCAAGAAATATGTAGGTTGAAGCCAGCAGAATGACCTACAGTTGAGTCACGATAACTCAAACCCTTGCTAACTAGAACCTCACGCTAACTCAAACCAAAATCAATTTCCCTCATACTTTTACTGTAATTTTATCCATGGTAACTCAAACCCTCAATAACTTGAAACTCCCGCTAACTCAAAGTATAATATTTTTGTTTCCCTTCAGATCATCTCAATAATAATCTCTTTGCACATACAGATATTGTTATCTTGATAGTCGCCCTAATTGATTCTTACCTTAAGAAACATTTCATCTTCAACATTGATAAAATCCAGGGACTTTGTTGTCTCCTGAACTTTGGGCTTCTTAGCCTTTTTTCCTTTTTTGTTTGTTTTTGTTTCGATATCTTTGTATGTCTTGCACAGTATTATGAAATAAGAAAGAGGTGTATCCTGACCCTAGAACATTAATAATTATTTTATTTTGAGGTAAGTAAAAAAGGATAAACAATCTTTTAATAGGATGCTCCATCACAAGAGTGGTTTACATAGAGGTCCTAATTACGAGATGTATATTATATAATACAATTAAAATATAAAAAGGTTAAGCTAAAATCGATATATATGAAAAAAAAAAAAGAGAAGTTAAATATAAAAAAAAAAAAAGAAAAAAAAAAAATGAAGAAAAAAAAGAGAAAAAAAAAAAAAAAAAAAAAAAAAAAAAAAAAAAAAAAAAAAAAAAAAAGGATATGTAATATAGTGACACACTGGAGGTAACACAAAAAGGACAGAGTGTTTATTACATGGCTGACTATAATATTATTACACATGTAGGAGGGTCAAATGGGGTAAACACAGGACCTACAAAACATTGGCAACCCTTCCTTGACAACAGCAACCCCATTTAAATCCCAGAAGGTTTTTTTTAAAGCCAGAGCACTCGGTTCAAATTCACTCCAACCAAAAGGAGATTAAGTACATCTCACCTTCCAGTATTAGAATCAGTGTTGAAACCTGCCTTCCCCAGTTACACTATTTACTCCATTTCTCTCCCGCCTTCCCATCCCTGACATTTTAAGGGCCTCCCCAGAGCTTTGCGAGATTCTGCGATACACATATTTCTAGTTATATGGCTGAATCTGCGAGCAGGCAAGATGAAGTGAATCCTGCATTCTTTTCTGATAGGCTACCTGCGCAGCCACGATGGGCCCATCTTGCCCGCTCAAGATTTCCTGCATTGGTCCCTTTTTGGCCAGATAATAAATCCTCTATTGACCAAGCCTATTAGGTCAAGAACTTGGCCAATATACAGCCATCTTGACCTCACGCTTGGTCAAAAACACATATATCTCTCCTTTTTATTTTAAAGTGATGTGTATGAAAGAGACAGGAATAGTATGGAGTTTGGTATCATCACAACCAAGAGAACTGTCTATGAAAGAGAGGCTTTTGTAATTTATTGTTTAGAGGGTCAAAAGAATTAGGTTTGGCTCTACTGTTGTAAACAGATGCATGATAAAGCACACATGTACTTGACAATGTATATACATGCAGTTGTATCCAAGGCTAAAAACACATACCTTTTTATGGACCTTCTTCAGTTCAGATCTAAGAAAACAAAAAGTATCCATTAGATACCTGAACTCCAAACACTTAAATGTGAAGTTGGATGGAAGCTAGTGCTATGAAAGTCTGAACAATCAGCAATGCAGTCAGCACTGGCTTAAAGAGATGAAATACAACAACCAAAGATGGTCAAACCACTTTTTTGTTAACCCTTTAAGTCCCAGTGGTGACCAACATCAATTTTCTCCTAACCATATCCTTAGACTGTCAAGAGATTAGGTTATGAGAATTAATAAAATGATCACCTAAGAGAAATGTTTTGGTCTTTTATCAAATTCTCTCAACGCATTCTTTAAGGAAATGTATAGAGATCAGTTTGGAGAATTCGTATGTGGATATTGGGGCTTAAGGGGTTAAACATTCTTTCCTAGCAGCTTCCTACCACTTCAATGTTGGAGAGAATGAGGTTACACTGGTAGGCCAACCAGCAAATTAGCATGATTCAAGGATCTGGCAACTCAAAATACTTCTTTTTAACAATCTTTGGAGGGAAATTTTGGGTTGACCTTAAACACCACTTTATCATCTTTTTATTTGTGATTAATAAAAGCATTCTTTACAGACTGACCACGTCCTTTACACAGACTAGAGAAAGAGTCATACCATTAGTTCATTCAACAGTATTTTTAGTTCAGTTACATGTAGTTTTTAATAATCTTAGTCATCCTTAAGCTGTCTCAAGTTACCCTGGGTGCGTGACTTTTCATGTAAGGTTTCTGGTTTTGGACAAGTCTTTCTGGTGACCCACGCAAAAAGCCCCTGAGACCAGAGCGCTATCGCTTTGATAGCACTAAGGCCCAGTTCAGACACCTAACTTTTCATGAGCCGCACCTAATTTGAATTAAGGCTGACCCATTTTATTTACATAATTATAAACCGGCTGAATTGATTCAGACGCTGATCTCAATTGCAGCTGAACTTCATGTAAGTTCGAATTCAAAAGGCGAAAAATGCTCATTTGGGTCAAACTGCTTACGAAATACATTATAATATTTTATGCATTAGGTTCGGTACATGAAAAGTTCGGCATCTGAATCAAAGCCGTTCTAAAGTTGCTCCAAAGGCGAAATTCCCAGTCAGGCTAGGCAAAAAGAGCGGCTGAGCCATTCCAAATTGAAACAGGTGTTCCTAATTGATGATTTCATGAACTTAATACAATGTATTAGGTTTGGCTCATGAAAAGTTTGGCGCCTGAACCGGGCCTAAGCCAGTTGTAAGCACAGTTAAATCACTATGGTCCAGATTTTGGACACAATATCTGATTAGATCCTAATGACAACCTAAGGGACTTTGAATCGTACAGATGTTATAATTCATTGATAGACAAGAATAGTTGACAATGTACTGTGTTCTTGCGATGCTGAAAGTTTTGAAACAGTACTGACAGAACGTATCAGCAAGAATTAAAAAAAATGGGCGACCACAAGGCAAACAACTGACAAGTCTTGTAGACTGGGAATAGAATATTGTTGTCGTTACAGCTTTACTGACATTGCTGGACTGTGCGTGCGATTTAATCAAGTGAGATCAGCAAGTATCCAAAAAGTCCTATTAATAATGATTTTTTTTATCCACCAAAGGTCTGTTGGCCTATGGCCAATACCGAAGCATCCAGCTGCACACGAGAAAAAAAAAACTCTGCTACCTAGGGTATCACCCCCCCTGAAATAAAGAAAGTTCTTACCTTAATGTTTTGTAGACGGGTACGGCAATCTGTGGTGGGATATTAATGAAGCGTTCATTAATGAGGAATCCAATGGCATGTTGTCCTTCCATCACCTCCGTGAACTCTTCTCTTGTTTCTTTTGATCCTGACTCTTTACAGTTATCTAACAGAAACTTTTTTAGCTCCCTAACAGCATCATTATCCTTTGTAAGAGCGAAGAGAGGAAACAAAACAACGTAAGTTGTAGTCAAAACAAAGTTAGATAGGGTCAATAACACATCATGCTCTTTGCTCTCACTTGATGCTTTTTCAAATTAACTACTGTTGTAACACCATACACATCTTCTTCTGATTCATGAGTTTCCTCGTCATGATCTTTACTTTCACCATTGCTTTCTTGATCTTCATCATTGACAACCTTTCAAATCAAAGTAACATTATAGATCACAAAAAATCATGATTTGAACATCATTCTAATAATATTACAGTTTCATTGAAAATTATTATTGACATACCTTTATAACTGTAGAAACTTCTGGTTGGGAAATGATCAGATCGCAAAGCTTTGAAAGATTAACAGCACTCTTTTGAAATAACTGAAAAAAGAAATGTAAACAAACCATAATCATTAGATTATGAATAATAAACATAGAACAATGTCTGCAAAGAGGTGAGGCTTCAGGGGTCATGGTCAACCATCCTTGAGAAAGACTAATATTAACCAGTCACCCGTGTCTCAGATTAAGTAAATTTCTCATACCCTTAGCCTTGCTTTGTACGTAGCTTGCATTTTTCATCCAAACCACAAGCTATATTTTACAGTACAGTTAATGGTCATAAAAAAAAGTTCATCCCACCTGTTGCAAAAGACATCGTATCCCATTGAAATCTTCTTCTGTTGGCGGAAAGGCTTCAAATTCAACAGGAATCTCCTATCAAATGACCAAGAAACAGTACATATCATACAATCACGTGTTTTTTTGTTTTTTGAGAGGTTGCAAGTGTACACAAAAGCTGATGATTAAAACAAGAATAAAGGCCAACCATATTCTCGTCAAAGCTTTCATCTGATGTATCTGCATCATCTTCTGAGTATGAATCTTCATCAGAATCTTCATTACTGCTGTCTTGTCTTCTTTTTTCTCCTTTCTTCAAATCGTTATCTTCGTCCGACTCCGAGTCGGCCATCTTGAATTAACGATTTCACGGTTGATACTGTATGTAAGCTCACCCTCGACCCATTTCGCCCCAGTCCCGTTGAAGCCGAGGAAGCACTGTGGATAAAATGGGTTCTCTTGGCGAAACAAAACACAAAATGGCAATGGCGGATGATTAAAGAAAACGCGAAGGCAATTTTCCCGCTCTTTAAACTTGTCATGTTTGTAAAAGCATATTCAGGAGAATTCATCCAAGATGACTACTAACACTATGTCAGAAAACTCGCTGCTTAGGCAGGCAAGAGGTACAACTTGTCATTGATGAAAAAGTGGCTGAAGTTCATATTTTGTTCGCTGGTAGGCTGGTCTGCTAAATCTTAGTTGAAATACCTAAAATGTCTGTGACTTTTGCCTTGTAGTTTTTTTAAGTGATGATGACTACATGAATTTACACTGGCCAAAGCTGGAAAGTGCAATTTTGTTAATTTTGCGACAGAGTCCTGGGCAATTTATACCTATTTCCTATGAAGAAATGTACAGGTATTTTATAATTTTGTTCATGTTTATATGCAACTGAACTAATATCAGACCTGCCAAACCTTAATAAAGGAAAATCTGGAGACTCAAAAAAAATCTGGAGATTCTACAAAAGGTAGTGAGATTATATTTTTTTTCCCAATCAATAGTTAGGGACCGCAGAGGGGGATTTGGCTGGGCTGGTAGGACTATAGCCCTACCACTTTTATTTCCTATGGACTCCTGTTTTCTAGCACTCCAGTTGACATGCTTGTCCGAACAATTACAACCTGATGTGGGTGCAAGGATGGTAAGATGTGAGGCCCAAATGGAGCGATTTGACTTTTTCTTTGCTTTGCATCTTGGAGAGCTGCTATATTCCCACACCGATAATCTATCTAAGGATCTTCAGGGTACTATGATGGCTGCTGTCAGTGGACAACACCTGACAAATGCAACAAAGGAGATGCTCACAAAAATTCACACTGATCAGAGCTTTGACCATTTCCTGCTAATGCTGCCTGCAAGAGTGAAGGCTTGCTTGGTGACCGAATGCTTCCAAGAAAGTGATGCACTCCGGCCAGACTGGAGGTTGGTGCTAGTGCACCAAGCTACCCCCAAACTGCCAAAGATCACCTAAGAAGGATCTATTATGAGACTGTTGATCTTATCATCAAGGCTATCGATCAGCGAAAGCTTCAGCTCCTACACCCAGATGGAGACCTTCTTGGTTAAAGCTGCTAATGGTGATGACTATGAGGCAGAGTTCAAGTTTCTTGAAGCATCAATTCATACAGCAAAGATGTAAATACAGGGGCACTACCTAGGCATCTACGTATTTTGGAAGTTATGTTAAAGTGAGGAGAAGATATCATGTTTTCACTAAATCCTGTTGGTGGTGTGAAAGTTTCCAGAACTAGAAGACAACGTTTATGTTACATTTGTTGAGGTTGTAAATAAGATGGTGGGCAAATGCATTATAAATGGCGGAACAATGAACTGAATGTTTCTTTGTATTAGCCAGATTTGTCTCTGCAATCCCTGATCTTAAACAAACTATTTTTCCATTGGGGGCGTTAACTGTATACTGTATTTAAATATTATCTCACTTTATTTGTGTTCCCTCTTTTAACAAGATGCCGCTTTTTCTTTCATGGCTCTAAGACCCCATGAAGAGGTCATCACTAGGACAAAACTTATAAAGCAAGGGGTCATCTCATTTCTTCTGTATAAACCAACCTTATGGCCAAAATGTTAGACAAAGTGCTATCAAGGCTCAAACGGACACTAACATTCCCCATTAATTTTTCACTATTATTCAACAAAGTAGCATTTCACCTCAGAGTAATTTTTCTCAAAAAACCATGAGATTAGGAGGTTTGCCATTTGGCCATGAGAAAACGTAAAAAATCGTGAGACAAACGGCAGAATCCTGAGAGTTTATTACAGTGTAGCTTATAATGCCTCTCAACCAGTGCTGACATAAAATTGTTGAATATGCCAAGATTTGTTTTTTACTTCTATTTTTGCCTCTAAGCATGAAAATATGCCACCTCTTGACTCTAAGCCATTTGATTGATCTACAGTCGTTTTGCTTATGTGTTGTTCACCCAACGTCATGTTTCCTAGCATATTAAGTTGTTTTGCTAACACATTGGTGAATTCCCTGACTTCTTGATCAATGGCTTAACAAACGAGAAATACATGTGTATATTGAAACTAACTGTGTTGTGTCTGAAGGAACGAGGTATATACACGTGTAGTGCTTGTTAGCGAAACAACTTAAGATGTTAGCGACGTTAACAAAACAACCGGTGACCATTAGGGGGTTAAGAGGTGACTCCTAGTATTGACACAGAGGCCCCATCTATTCACAGAAAAAAAGTTTTTTTCAGTGAAACCAAAACTCCTTTGTATTTCATTTTATTTTGGTTACCAACACTTTTTTGTCTTTTTTTGATTGGTGAAAAATGCGGGAAAGTAAAAGGGATCATCATCATTGCTTTCTTTCCTGGTCGCTCAAAACGCTTTGAAATACACGGAGGTCCCTGTACTCCCCCAATGAAAGGGATGTAGCTCCCTTCCCATACCTACTTCTATACACAATTTTGCCATGTGAAAGACACTTCTTTTGATCTAAACAGTTGCTGAAAACCCTGGACTCTCTTCACTAATATGTAAGAGATTTGTTTGTGTGTTTCAAAAAGCAGATGTTGTGCAAAATTGCTACTATTTAAAAGAATATGTATAAATATTTGTGTAAACAGCAAAACCAGATCTAAAAGAATCAAGAACTTAAAGGTTTACCTGTNCTAGCATATTAAGTTGTTTTGCTAACACATTGGTGAATTCCCTGACTTCTTGATCAATGGCTTAACAAACGAGAAATACATGTGTATATTGAAACTAACTGTGTTGTGTCTGAAGGAACGAGGTATATACACGTGTAGTGCTTGTTAGCGAAACAACTTAAGATGTTAGCGACGTTAACAAAACAACCGGTGACCATTAGGGGGTTAAGAGGTGACTCCTAGTATTGACACAGAGGCCCCATCTATTCACAGAAAAAAAGTTTTTTTCAGTGAAACCAAAACTCCTTTGTATTTCATTTTATTTTGGTTACCAACACTTTTTTGTCTTTTTTTGATTGGTGAAAAATGCGGGAAAGTAAAAGGGATCATCATCATTGCTTTCTTTCCTGGTCGCTCAAAACGCTTTGAAATACACGGAGGTCCCTGTACTCCCCCAATGAAAGGGATGTAGCTCCCTTCCCATACCTACTTCTATACACAATTTTGCCATGTGAAAGACACTTCTTTTGATCTAAACAGTTGCTGAAAACCCTGGACTCTCTTCACTAATATGTAAGAGATTTGTTTGTGTGTTTCAAAAAGCAGATGTTGTGCAAAATTGCTACTATTTAAAAGAATATGTATAAATATTTGTGTAAACAGCAAAACCAGATCTAAAAGAATCAAGAACTTAAAGGTTTACCTGTTGAAAACACTTTTCTTCTTTCTCCTCTCTTTTCAATATTATGCTTCCCTTTTCTTTCTAACTTTTTTTAGCACTGTTTATAAATGTGTGTGCCAGCAATATGCCGACAGGATGTACAACAACCTTACTGAACTTGTACATACCTACCTTAGAGGTGTTTCTATGGAGCTTCAGGTGAGTAAAGTTGGACCATATTAAGGCGTTGATATTGCCCTTGGTCTAATAGTAAGCCTAAATGTTCAGACTGAGATGGACTTTGGGAAAGTTTGGAGTAAATTCCAATAGTACTACCACTTTTATTGGGGAGAATAAGTGACCCATGCAGAGAACCAGGTGATTCATCCCGTAATTAGGAGACTTAAAAACCCTAAAAGTCCCAAGAGTGACGAACATCAATATTATTTTCTCATAACATTATCAGTATATAATCAATTAGGAAGGTTACGAGAATTAATAAAATAAATGATCACTTAAGGAATTCGAAATATGCCTTGATCTTTTAACAAATTCTCTCAACCAATTTTTCAAGTGTGGAGAATTGGTATGTTGATCTTGGGGCTTAAACGGGGATCCAGGATTGCTGGGATATGTGGTTTTAGATGTGACAGCTGTGTGTTTCATTTAAAAGCATTTTTTCCATACATTAATGGTAATTTTCAACAAGATCACATCCTAAAAAGGTCTTTTAGTTTCACTTGTTACTTTTGCATCATTTCTTCTTTGTTGATTTTTTTCAGGTAACCCCTAAAGAAGCATATCTAGAAAAGTTTCATTTTGTGATGGAACAGTTTTTTCAAGCTGTTAGTGGCATAGTTGCCATCTTCAGTTACATGGTAAGATTTTTACTACTTCTTCACCAAGCTCCAATTGAGTGTACAACATACCTTAACCTTGAGACTGAGTATACATACATAGATTACTAAAAATTAGTTTGGTTCAAGACATGGCAAAATTTTGAAGGTACAGTCGGGTAAAAAGCCAGCTTGACTAAAATGAGAGCGTGGAACGCTCACATAGAGAATGTTATCAAAAAAGGAGCCTCTAGGCTATATCTTTTAAGGCAGCTTAAGCGTGCAAAAGGAGATCCTGCGCAGCTACTTTGTTTCTATGCTACGTGTATCCGGCCCATGTCTGAATATGCCTGCCAAGTTTTCCACAATGGTCTGCCTGAGTATCTCTCTGAAGAGCTAGAGAAAATTCAGTGCCGTGCACTTAGAATTATTTTCCCAGATTTACGCTATCAAGAGGCTCTAAAAGAGTGCAATATTGCCACCCTCCACCAACGGCGCCAATGGCTGACAGAGCGCCTATTCAATGAGATTAAGGACAACAGCCTTCACAAATTACATGGCCTTTTGCCGCCACGTAATCTTAGTACTGTAGCCTTAAGGAGAAAGTGCGCTTTTAACGTACCTCCTTGTAGAACAAATAGACTAATGAATAGTTTTATCATGCATAACGCGGCTATTTTCTAATGGTTTTATTGTAAATTCGCGGCTATTTTCTTAAATTTCATGA